GCATGTTGGCGATTTTAAGCGATCTTAGGCGATTTTAGGCGATTTAGGAGAAATTCGACAATTTTAACCCGCGATTTAGTGCGATTTTAGGCGATTTAGGGCGATTTAAGGCGATTTACCGACCCAGAGTAGGCCTTATATACTTGTCACATCCTAAAATATACGCATGAAACGCATGAATTTTGTTCCTTGTTAAGTCTAAAATATATAGTTTTCTTTTGCCAGAAGCGATTAATATCATGTTACCATAGGGGATAAAGGTGGAGGAGGTACATGCATTCGGATTTAATTCAATTATGTAAATATCACGCTCAACTATACAGAGTGTATCAAAAAAACTGAACAGATTTGAAATTGCTCTCAATTTCGCAAAACAGCTATTAGTATTCATTTTTTTTGTATATAGCTTCCTTAGGTACTTATAATGTTGAATAATGAAAAAAAATTCTCGAACTCAAATTTTGTGAACCAGGGGGGTGTCTTTTCCAACAAAATGAAAATGGCTTGCGCGCGCAATTTAAAAGCTTTAATCATATTTTGAGTTAACAAATGGAAAACTTGTTAGGTTTTTAATTACTGTTCAAAATTGCAGACAATTTGCTTTAGTTTAAGTCCTTTAACTATCCATTTTTCCCTAAAAATTCAGCCTTTCGCATGCTTAATTAATGCCTTTACCTAATTTGCATATTGCTGACATATGCAAATTGGACAAATGCATTAATTAAGTATGCAAATTGCTGATTTTTTAGGAAAAATGTAAGTTTGCGTGGATAGTTGAAGGCCTTAGACTGAAGCAAATTATCTGAAATTTCGTGCAGCAATTAAACACCCAACACATTTTTCATCGATTAACTCAAAATACGATTATAGCTTTTAAATCGCGTGCGCAAGCCATTTTTAGTTTGTCGAAAAAGACACCCCCCATGATTTACAAAATTTGTGTTCGCGAAATTTTTTTCATTATTCTATATTTTATAAGTACCCAACGAAGCCATATATATCAAAAACTGGATATTAATTGCTGTTTTAAGAAATTGAGAGCAATACAAATCTGTTCAGTATATAAGTATTTTGTATTAGATGACGTCATTTACTGTATAGGCTATAGTTTATGAGCGTCAAACTTGCTTTTAAAACTTATAAATTAATCCGAATTTTTTTTATATGGCGATTAACTAACTATAATCTTTATCGTGGTTTGATAAAAGAACGGTAAACGGGCCATTACAACGGTTAACGCCGACTCCAGTTTAAAACAATGACTAGACATATCATTTACTATAAAATCTTACTGTTATCCCCGCATCAAATTTTTCGTTAATTGTTCGAAATGTTCTTATTTATTATTATAAAAGGTTAATGCTCCAAAAGTCATAGCGATATATTCGCATTTATTTATCAATATGGCCAATTTGAACATTGTGCAACGATCCTTTGTTCCTCGTGAGGGGTCGTCATTCTATAATAACCTGTGAAAAGCACTGAGCTATACTATAATATACTATACTATACTACTGGAGGACCTGCTAGGGATAAAAAAGTATCCGCAAAAACATGGCGGATCGATCTCCATTTCCATGACAACACTTACTTTATTTTTATGGTAATTGCCACTGACCAACCGCGATCCTAAGCTTTCGAAGATGTCATTAACCCCCATGGTTTTTGCACGAAAATCTTAATATTTCCCTCGCACATTAATTGTTTTACAACGCTGGTTTGCTTCGCTTGTGGATGCAGACTTTAATACAAAGAAACTAAAAAGAAAAACTAATTCTTTCAGGTAAGATTCACGAAACTTTTTTATAACTTTATAGACGACTAGCTACACTGAGTCACTAGATCCTTAATATTATGTCAAAAACTCATCATCCTATTGAGATATACGGCAAATATTTCAATAGGGGACATGCATAAGGACAGTGGACTGTCAGTTTTTAATTACTTGTATAAATTGTATGAAAATGCCACGAGCCGAACACGTGGGTATTTGATTTTGGATTTATAAAGCCAACAACAGACGATCAAGATTGAATATACTTCCCGGCGAGATCGCAAAATTTATACAAAAACAGTCATATCCACAACTATCACTTGTAAATGCAATGTATGACGCCGAACATGGTATGCAAGAGATCATCGAAGCGTCACTAGTTTCTGTGGTGGAAAAAAAGCAAGTTTTATTCCGATAAACTAAATCGTTTTCTGACTTTCAAAACTAAGATAGATGTCCTACTCACTATCGCGAAGCCCCGGTTCAAAGAACTCAACTAGTGTCTGCCACTCCTATCTCTGCTGAGATACCATCATATGTGCCCCCTACTCCTGTACCAGTGGAAATGCTATCACAAGTGCCTGCTACTCCTTAACCTAATTTCCTTATAACGCCACCAACAGAAGAGAAACGACCAACTCTGAAGCGCAGCTCTTTTCACTATTGGGTAGACTCTACAGATTGGAGGCCCCAAGATTTGGCAATGATTATCCCTGAATAAAGAGAAGGTTACGAAGAAACATTACTTCGCGAGAGACCAAAATATATTCCAATGAAGTTGGAGAAAATTGCAAAGTTATCGCCTGAAGAGAGACAAGATACTAGAACTCTTTAAAGATACAAAAGACATCTAAACGCTACGCGCTTAGAAGTAGATCGTACTAAATTTTATAAAACGTTTTGAATAAATGAACATGCTTTAAATCTAAATTCTTGTGTAAAGTTTTGCCTGCAAAGAACTTTTTTCCCGCCCACCCGATTTGCTCGCTCTAAACGCCTTAAACGTTACGCTGTAAGAACAAGACCGTACTGAATTTTGTCAAAGATTTTGAAGAAATAAATGTATTCTAAAGCTGAAATCTTGTGCAATTTTTTGCCTGCAAAGCACGCTTTTTCCCGCCGGCCCGATTTGGCTTACTTGCCCGCCTGATTAGTGTACAACTATGCGGTACATTTATATATGCATGCACACAAGCGTCGCTAATCCATGACTGGCAACACATAGCAACGTTTATAATGACCGCATCTTTGATAAAAACATATTTTTATTGCAAAATATATCAGAACTGTTTTAAACGTTTTTTCTTTCTTATGATCTAACTCTTGAATTGGTCAACTTAACAGTAGATATGTATGTAGGAGGTTTGCAAAATAATGTTGCAGCAATCAACTCCAATGGATCTTCTTGTTCTCAATACAATAATAGTTCAAGGTACATTGTAGTTCATGACTCTCAATTCGGTAATGGATCAGTATGGATCAAATGTTTTGACAACTTGTAGCTACGCTAACATGGGACGCTAATTAAAAAGCGATTACTTTTTGACAATGATGCTGACCTCAGCTTAATCACTTTCTCGCCCAGGCTCGACTTGCATATCGTTATGATGCCATTCGTGCGTAACCTCACATCGCCTTACGCACCTCATTTATTAATTACCTCCGTTCTCCTCTACCTTCCTCCCCCCAACTCCACCTCATTATATGTAAATGATTGCGCCACCTCTACACTCCTCCACCATACTCCACATCCTTACGCACCCTGATTTGTATAAATATTAATTAGCGTACTCTCAGCACTATTCGCACCCTCATTTGTATGGATATTAATTAACGCACCCTCAGCTGCCTTATGCAACCTCAAAATTCCCGATCGAACGGTACCTACCATACTACTTGTTTCAAAACGTAATTTGCAAATTAACATTTTTTGACGATAATTATTGTATTGTAATAATCTTTTCTTTCTAAATTGCTGGGAAATATAGATTGACTCCATCGCTAAGAACAATTATAATTTCACTATATTTTAATTGTTTTGTTCATGTTTTACATTGGCAGATAGTGGTTCTGACAAGGACGATCGCAGTAGCAGCAGCAGCGACAACAAGAACAAGAACAACAACGATAACAGCGACGACTACCAAGATTTAATAAGTAAGTTTTCGTGTTATTCTAGATTCGCAAAAATTTATATCATGTGTATAGAAACCTTCATTCATAATAACATTTCGTATAAAGAAAATTTCCGACAATCCTAGGCTACTACTCAGTAATTTTTTTTAAGCCGATGAGAATTTCACGGGTCCAAAGAACGAGTGTAACTTGGAACTTCTAGAAAAATATATAATTACGAGGGTATAACTGCGTTAAAACAAATTCTGCACTTGCAAGCATCACAGAGTAGAGACATACAGAGACGTAACTAATCATCGTGAACACTGAGCTAGATTACGTTATCATGCATTCACTTTTTTTCAGGCGACCGGGCGAAAAATGATCAAATGCGCGTGCTCAGTAAATTTAAAGTGAGTCGTTAAAAGGTCGTTATCCAATCAGATGCATCTAGTAACTTGCCGAGCATGCGCAGAAAAAAGTGGGTACGCTAGTTACGTCTCTGTATGTCTCTACTCTGTGCATGTATCTTGCATATGTGAATGTATGTGAGACTAAAACGTCGTCCAACTTTCCAGCTGTCGAATGACTAAACATCATTCAAGATATATTTTTTAATAAACTAGAAAATACATGCACGCTGCAACCCCTCGTCCATATAAATGATAAAGTATTAAGACCATGATAAACAAACATAAAAAAACACATCTCACAACTGATGCGCTAGCATAATGAACGATAACATTCGATGCAATTTAATGTATACCGGCTTGCATTAAAACACATTATTTATTGCAAATCATCGAATTGGGGCAATTTTCACCTTGGTGTACCATCTAAAATCTCTTCATTTTAGCATTATTTTACAGATTCATCACTAAACATACGTTCTTAGTTTGTTTGTCGCTTGAGAAACGTATCGCAAATTTAAAGACTTGAGTAATAGTCATAACCAAGTGAACAAGTTAGTCTCAGCGGGCGTTATGTTACACGCAAAATCATCTCCTCTTAATTGTGTTTGTATTTGCTGTTCTGTTTTAGCAATGAGGATTGTCAAATCTTGCATTGGTGTTGGAACGGGCATGATTGCTCTGATCACCTACTGCTGTTGTCGCTATGGTCGTAACTAATGCATTTTTAATATGTTATTGACAAAGGCCAAATTATTATGGATTATTATTCTGTAATAAATTCGCCCTATTACGGCAATGCACGATGTAGATTGATTACTCACTCCGAGAATAGAAAACGAGCTGCGTGCGCCTACTGTCTGATAATGCGCGCGGAGAATGTTTTACACGCTTCTCGAGTGTACTCCAAACATTCCCCCGAGTGCATTATCACACTATAAGCGCACGAGACGAGCTTTTCTATTTCCTTTATGATATAAGTAGAACATATTACATAGTAAGCAAATTTAGTCAAAGACGTCACGCGAATGCTTTTACTGTGGCTTGATTTTTCTAGCCTCCTGCGCAGACGTTGTTAGTGGCCCGAGGCCTCACCTAACGTCTGCTCACATTCGCTATGCATTTGACTTCCCATTGTTTAGAACAGCCAATAGAATTTTATGTAAACAATGTAATTATCCCGCCCACAACATGTCAAATGTCATACGGGAAAACCCAGCAAGTTGTCAATTTCCTATTGTAGCAATTTACACTATTTTTGTATTACAAATTACAACTGCGCGATGTACATATAATATGAACACTGAAACAAAGGAAAAAAGTATTGTAAATAGTTGCTTCACATGCAAGGGTGAAGAAATAGATAAAAATAAACGTACGAGACTGTTTGGTAAAAGCAAAACTCACGATTTCGTGGGTATCCTTCGCGAAA